AGATGTGTCTTAGCACAGCGTATTCATTTGGTCCTTGGTATTACCAATGGGGTTGGCAAGCCTGTTTATGTAGAAACATGGGTAAGTGATCACAGTGCTCACAGTCGCTACAGAGCAAGGTTCTCACCATGGCCAGGGCTTCAGCTGAGGAAGTCTGACACAACTTGGAAAGATTGTTTCTGGCTACTGGAGCAGTGTCCTTAAGATACTTTGGACAGAAAGGAAAAGAGTTCAGTTCAAATAAAGCAGTACCATTCAGAAAGGAGTTCAGCTTTCAGTGCTTTTGAGAACCTAGTTGAAGGATAGTTTTCTTCTAACTGTGGGACATCATCCCTGTTTATTTTTCCATTTCTGATGAATATGGCCTTGGGTATATCTTGATGTTATCTTAATACTATTTTTTTTTAATTTGAAAAATAGCTTTGTGTTTAAGTAAACCTCTTGGCTTAGTAAGCAGCCATTCACCTGTAAAATGAGAATAGCATGTTAGAATTTCTGTTTCTTTTCTTCAAGAACCAGCTACATGGTATATTTGTAATTGAGGATACCAACTTTTCTTTCTGAATGCCCTTGATTCCTTAGCTTTTCTCATGTTGTTGTCCACACCATGAGAACTGCCTTTCTACTGTTCACGCAGGTAAGAGAGCATGGTAAAGCCTATGAGTTACATGCCCTGGAATCTCATTCTGCCAACAGTGTGACCTGTGTTACAAGTCAACATAGTCTCCTTAGCACAGAGATTTAAAAAAAAAAAAAAAAAAAAAAAAAAAAAAAAAAAAAATTGTCCTCCTAGGTAGGTAATTAATTTGAGAAATAAAATACCATTGGTGCTCTTGGCATGTGTTCTATAAAAGATCAGAGGTGGGAGTGGGTAAACATTTGTTTTCCTTAGGGATCAAAAGAAAAATCTTCTAAGAACTTTTTATGGTGTTCCTTCTTCTAGGTTGCCAACTTGGCCTGTTCCATCTCAAACAATGAAGAAGGTGTAAAGCTTGTTCGAATGTCAGCAAGTCAGCTAGAAGCTCTCTGTCCTCAGGTAAGATAATGACCAAAATTGTTTATGGTACCACTGAATTGGAGTTTGGTTACATTGGAGATCAGGTTTATTTTTTTAATTTTGTTTTTAGAATTTTACATAGAAGTCTTGGGGACAAAACACTGATCCAGAGTTCACAAAGCTTGTAGAAATTTATGTTCAGCTTCAAGTGACATTTCCTTGGGGCATCACATATTACTATCCCTTGCCTTTCATTAAAAATGGATAGTGTCTTTCATTGCTGGCAAGTGGAGGGTGTGTAGTGACCTCACTACTCAGTCTGTAACCTCCTTGAGAGAGGGCCATCTGCAACATTTGACAGTCCTGGATTTAGGGTAGTTACCTCACAAACCTGAAGGAGTAACAGTTACCCACCTATGCTCCTTAATGCCTGGGATTTGGATCTTTGTGATGGAGGGAACAAGATCCAAGAGCTAGAACCATTACTCTGTAATGTCCTGAAGTAGCATTTTGGTACATATGTTAGCAACGTAATCCAGCCAGCTACTGAATTAAAAGCTTGAGAACTTTTCTCCATTTATGATGGCATATTGGAAGACTAGCGATTATGGCAGTCTGGGACTCTCGAAAGACTCTGAAGCACATAGAAGAACAGTTGCTTTGTTAAATGACCAACGTGTTGGCTGCCTCCTATGAGGGGAACTGACCCTGTCTGTGGGGTCCCCTGCTCCTTGACAGTCACAGGTGTTTTTAAGCGGTGTAAGAGCTGTTTTCAGTGGAAGAGGCTGCCCTTCTGATTTCCCAAGTAGAGACTGCTCATGGGCCTACTCTGAGGATTTACATTTACTTTCTCTAAATGTCCTGTCAGATGGCAGTGGCCACAGATAAAGGGAAATAAAGCAGAGGAACGGGAGTAACAAAAGAGAGGTCATAGGAATGAAATTTCTATGTTGTGTGTACAACCAGCTTTAAAATATACGGAGACCAATACTTTGGCCCTTTCATATAAATAATTCCTGACCCTCAAGATAGGCAACCAAAAGAAGTAAAGCCTGATTATTAATCTGGGATCTTAACTGGTGCACAGGTTAGTTAAGACATTTGTTCTAATTGTCATTCATGTGTATCTCGCTTGCCAGTGAGAGTTGGTTTGTGTAAACACTACTGTGATAGGCCATTGTGAATCCACATTATATGATGAACATCTTTTCAGCTTTCATCCAGTCATGAAATCCAGTAGAAATTGGTAGCGGTAAAGATAATAAGCACAATGGATTGAATGGCTTGTAGAAAGTTCATGGATGACTAAGTTGTAAGAAGTAAATTCAGAGTAAATTTCTAAAGATGGGGCATTCTTTCCCCAAGTTTATCATTTTACCCTATCAGCACTTTGTTTTTAATGTCTTTGGTTCTCCGTTTGGTTTTGAAATGCTTGAAAAGCCACAATGCTTTCACATATCAGCTGAAACAGATGGTAACATACGCTGATCACACCTACCAAGAGTATTTATATAAATGATCTTAAGCCTAGGAGAAAAAAATCACATGGAGAGTCTAGTAGATCCTAATGAAATGGTGGTGTGCACAAATCATGTGTGGCTGGGCCATATTGTGCCGGTTTGAGTTTGCCCTCAGCATTGTTTCTCTCTTGGGTATTTGATTTCTTCTAGTAGAACAGACCTTCAGGAGGAGTGGGTTTAGACCGTGCCCAGACCACCCTTAGTATTAGGTGTGTGTCCTGGATAAAAAGGTGTTTTCCCAAGTGTGCTTCTTGTCTTCCAGACTCTTGCCTAGGTTCATTTTTGCCCCTGCTCAAAGCAGGGCCGGGCAGACTCAGTGATGGCAAATACAGCAGGCATTTGCAGCCATGATAGTGACAAACTTGAGTAGTATGTGCCGTTTCTACATGAGGAAGCTGTGATTCCACTCCAGGCCAGTATTGCCAGGTCCTTTCATTATTTTTAAAGAGAAGTCAGCAATTCAGGTTTTTCTGTCAAGTCTCAATTTTAAACGATAGGTAACTAATCAAAAGTTTTGAGGGGCGCCTGGGTGGCGCAGTCGGTTAAGCGTCCGACTTCAGCCAGGTCACGATCTCGCGGTCCGTGAGTTCGAGCCCCGCGTCGGGCTCTGGGCTGATGGCTGAGAGCCTGGAGCTTGTTTCCGATTCTGTGTCTCCCTCTCTCTCTGCCCCTCCCCCGTTCATGCTCTGTCTCTCTCTGTCCCAAAAATAAATAAACGTTGAAAAAAAAAAAAAAAAAAGTTTTGAAAGTCTTTGAAGAGGGTAAACCAAACTCCTCTGAGACTGCATCTGGCTTACCCTGGCCCGTGCATTGCATTCTCAAAGGGCTTCTTTTTCAAACTGGCTGGTGGCCATCCCTTTGAGGAAGAGGGGTTTCCCTGGAGCCCTCTCTCTCCTTACTCTTCATTCTGATGTGGGCAGTGACCTCTACCACCAGGACCCTGAACTAGAGGTGTTCCCTTCCACAGACACTGGCTTGTGTGATAAACAGACTAGGCTGGTTAGTTCCCCAGGAGTTTAGGAAGGGGTTTAATATGCTGTAGCCTATATGGCACAAAAACAGACACTCAGATCCATGGAATAGAATAGAGAACCCAGAAATGGATCCACAAATGTATGGCCAACTAAACTTCGACAAAGCAGGAAAGAATATCCAATGGAATAAAGACTGTCTCTTCAGCAAGTGGTGCTGGGAAAACTGGACAGTGACATGCAGAAAAATGAACCTGGACCACTTTCTTACACCATACACAAAAATAAACTCAAAATGGATGAAAGACCTAAATGTAAGACATTTGTATGATGTAAGACATCAAAATTCTCAGGGAGAAAGCAGGCAAAAACCTCTTTGACCTTGGCCACAGCAACTTCTTACTCAACACGTCTCTGGAGGCAAGGGAAACAAAAGCACCAATGAGCTATAGGGACCTCATCAAAATAAAAGACTTCTTCACAGCGAAGGAAGCAATCACCAAAACTAAAAGGCAACCGACAGAATGGAAGAAAAGATTTGCAAATGACATATCAGATAAAGGGTTAGTATCCAAAATCTATAAAGAACTTCTCAAACTCAACACCCAAAAAACAAATAATCCAGTGAAGAAATGGGCAGAAGACACGAATAGACACTTCTCCAAAGAAGACATCCAGACGGCCAACTGACACATGAAAAAATGCTCAACATCACTCATCAGGGAAATACAGATCAAAACCACAATGAGATAGCACCTGTCAGAATGGCTAACATTAACAACTCAGGTAACAGTGGATGTTGGAGAGGATGCGGAGAAAGAGGATCTCTTTTGCACTGCTGGTGGGAAAGCAAACTGGCACAGCCTCTCTGGAAAATAGTATGGAGGTTCCTCAAAAAATTAAAAATAGAACTACCGTGCAACCCAGCAATTGCACTACTAGCGTATTTATCCAGGGGATACAGGGATGCTGTTTTGAAGGGCCACATGCACCCCAAGTTTATAGTAGCGCTATCAACAACAGCCAAAGTATGGAAAGAGCTCAAATGTCCATCAATGGAGAAGGAAGATGTGGCGTACGTACACACACACACACACACACACACACACACACACACACACACACAATGGAGTATTACTTGGCAATCAAAAAGAATGAAATCTTGCCATTTGCAAGTACGTGGATGGAACTAGAGGGTATTATGCTAAGAAAAATTAGAGAAAGATATCATATGACTCACTTATGAAGACTTTAAGACACGAACAGATGAACAAAAGGAAGGGAAGCAAAAATAATATAAAAACAGGAAGGAGGACAAAACGTAAGAGACTTAAATACGGACAACGGAGGGTTACTGGAGGGGTTGTGGGATGGGGGATGGGATAAAGGGTAAGGGGCACTAAGGAATCTACTCCTGAAATCATTGTTGCACTATATGCTAACTAATTTGGATGTAAATTTAAAAATATAAAAATTAATTTATTAATTGACAAAAATGCTGTAGCCTATAGACAGTTATTAGAGTGCATCTTTATTGTGAGGCTGCTGGCAATATCTGACCACAGGATGAAGTACATGTTCGATTTTTCCATGCTGGTTTTTGTGCCTCACACCCACACTCTTGCATGTAGGAAGCCCGGGCCCCTGTGTTGGAGATGTTCTCCTTATGTAACTCTTCTGTGGCCCCACCTTCATTTTGGAGTTGGCTCCTAGACCTTATTGTTGAAGGGGAGAGATGACAGATGGAACCTCCAGAGGAGCTTTTCCCCCATTTTGTCAGTTCACTCAATAGCAAATTAACTTTGGAAATAAGAACTGTTGTGAAGTACTAACTTTGTAGCAGTTAAGTGACTTTAACTTCAAATATTTGAGATTAATTAAAGTTGAGGAGGAAGTAACCTGAAAGTGGCTTTGTTTTGTTGCTTGGGGGAACAAAAGCACCCACATTTTTTTGTGATTTGCTGTTGCAAGAAAGGAAGTAGGTCAGCTGTCTCTGCCTGCATTGCCTGCTACTCTGTGGCTGCACTGTCTCACTGTGTTCATCTGGAGGGGGACCTGCTTCCATTTGAACAGAGAGCCCTAGTCTCACATGCCTTTATAAGGAAAAAAACCCAACTGTTATGGGGATAAATATGAATCTGTACCCCACATATCCCTGATATGCCTTGTTTGTAGATGTGCCCAAGTCTTAGTCTGTGGTAGCTGCTTAAAATATTTCACTTTTTTAGTTCATTTGGTGCTGGGCAGTGAAAAAAAGGAAAAAGAAGATTTCTGACAATTGAATCTTTAAATTGTGGGAGGGCATTTTGGAGATGATCTCAACTTAATATTTTATTTTTCTTAGTTCATTTGTGAGAATGAGCATTGTACATTTAGGTTAATACGGATCTGGCACTTTAATAATTCATATAGCCTGGTTTAATGCATGGCCTTTCTTGGAAATCTACACAAAGGTGAATTAAATATTTGAAGCCACAGCTTATCTGCATTTCTTTCTCTTTTTTTTTTCTTTTTGTCCTTCTCACTAACTAGAGAAACAACTTATGAA